CAATTTTACTTTATACGACAGAAGAACATGGGTGTTCTCTTACAACGTTCTATTTCCGAGTCGAACAACATGAACCGACGTTACTAATGATCAAAACATGTAATAACGAGGTATGTTTTTATTAAAAAAAACTTATATAATAATAGAAATTTGAGAAATTATATCATACTTTTTATATAAAATATGCGATGACGCAACTTCAAAAAATACATATTTAAATGAGTGCATGTTGCAAAAATTTTATGTACAATACTAGCAAAACAATTATTTATATTATGGAAATGAGTAAATTTATAAAAGATAATTTCCATCTGTATAAAAATATATTAAAATTTATTGATTACAAAACTCTAGAAATGCCATGACATTTTGTTTTTATAAAAATCCAAAAACAATGCTCAGTGATTCCCACATACTCCCCGCTCAATGTTGATCTCAAGCCAGTTCGAAAGGTGATCAGAAACACGTTGTATTTATTTGATGGGAAGATCGATTGTAGGAGTGTTGTGAATTTGACATCCCTTGTTTGATATGACCTGAAGTCTTGGCATAAAAAATAGGCCGGTGAAAAACTGGTAGTCAGAACTAGTTATGGTGTCAGCGATGAGTAGAGGTCTGGACATACTGAATAAATATACCGACGGAAGTCCGGTGCCGGGCTTGTAAACGCGTTAGCCCTGATGACCGAGGACTGGGCGTACTTTTAGGGTAGCCAATGGAAGACCAGTGATTAGCGCGTTGCACCAGAATCTATATTTGTAAATTCATGATCCGCGCATATTTGCATCTTCATTTCAACGTCGTCGGTCACCAAATATGTATAAAGAAATTTGCATTGTATAAAAATATATTAAAATTTTTCATTACAAAACTCTAGAAATGTCACGACATTTTGTTGTTATAAAAATCTAAAAACAATGTTCACCTGATTCCTACAATATTTATACTTTGAGAAACCGAAAATAAAAAAAAAAACCAGTTTTGACTTGTTTTGACAATGAATGCTTGAAGTCTGAAATTGGGGAACCTGGGATAATTAATTGAGCCTAAAGAATATGAACTTGTACATAAAGGTTTAATTGGGTTTAATATTATTTTTCTTATAGGTGTTTGGTGCTTACTGTTCTTCCCGTTGGTATGAGCGCAATATGAAAGATGATCGAGGAAACAGACAAGCTTATTTTGGAACGGGAGAAAACATTTTTATTTTCATTATATCCAGAACGTGCCAAGTATCCTGGGTAGGAATGGGAAGTGGTGACAAAGAGTCACTTGGCCATGCTGCTGAACTGTTTATGGCAGCCGATTCGAAAATGATCACGATCGGCGGAGGGTAAGTCTAAATTAATAAGAATTTTAAAATAAACCACTTCTCATAGGCCTATAATATTATGAAATGTACTTTTTGACTATCAATTATTTCACTATGCAAAGTTTTATCAAAATCCCAGAATAGTAAACCTGGGATCAACCCCAACTCAATCGATTCATGATAAAAACAATCATAGCTCACAATAAATATATTTTTTCTAGTTACCTAGCTTTTCAACAACAATAACATGTACTATATGCTATATCCAAAGAAATATAAGGTTCAATTATTATTTATATAATTATTTCTATTTTCAGGCAAGGGCAAGCGATTTGGATGGATGAAAACATTCGCTTTGGCAAAACCGATCATTGCCAAACATTTAACAATCCCCCACTGTGTGCAAGTGGTGATTTTGAGGTTCGAGTTTTGGAAGTCTATGGGTTCTCTGGAGCATGAGATTTGTAATTATTTATTGAAGAGTTATGAAGAAGAAAATTGTAAATATATTTAAATATATTATGACATATGTCTGTGTGGAACATTTATATAGTCTTGTGTAATATTGTTATCTTTCGATATATTATGATACCTATTTTGAATTCCGCATGAGTACAACAATAGGTCCTCATAATACATCATAATAATTCTATTAAATAATGCTATCAGCATTATTATGTTATTTCAATGTATATTGTTTGCAATTATTGTATTGTGTACATAGATATCTATGATCAATGTTTATCTACTACTAATTTAGTTTTAAAATAATTATTATGCCTATATATTTGATGTCTGATAAATTTTTAGTCACTAGGTAGCACTAAGTAGGAGTTATAAAAATAATTATCGTGATGTTATTCGACTGTTGATTTGCGATTAAAATAATGCATAAATATATTCGTTATTTGTTATTAAATACAAGTTTTTAATATTAAAGTGCGGCGTATCAAAAATAAACTATTCCAACTAGCTAAATTTAAACTAACAAGTCATCAGTGAAATCAGAAATTTGATTCTAGCATCAACATACAGCTCACGAATATCAGAAACAAGAGCTGAGATTATGAACACATTCAATTAAGAAATATATACACATATAAACACTTTAAATCAAAACTATTGAATTGAATTGAAAACATGAATGTTTAACATGTTACTCTTAAAATATTTTGGGTGTGCTGATAAAATGTATATTACTGTCAGTATATCACATGATCATGGTTAAATCAGTATTTTCATTTGTTCATATTTCAATACTCTAATTTTTACAATAGTCATGAATATGTGATCACATATGTGGATTTTGGATTTTTCTTATTGTTTTAAAAACATTGACTAGTAGCATTCATTTTATCAGCATATCATTGAAAGGATGGCATATATATCAAGTATGTTACAGTATTTTTAATCACAGCCAATCAAATTTTATACCTCAAATAAATTTCACAAATTATAAACTGGCAAAACTACCATAAGATCAAAATAGTTATATAAAAAAGATATTTTACTTCTCGCAATTGTAATGGGTATTTAACAGCATCCAAAATCTACTTCCGATACTTTTTTATTTATTGTAAAGATTCATTTTGATTAAAATTAAATTTATAAGACATCCGAGAATTGCTTTGCATTGCATTGCATTACTTCTTGGTAAAGAATTAATTCATTACTCAATATCTTTTTTTAGTAAGATTTATTTCTGTTAAAGATTTCAGATCGAATTACATAAATATTCAGTAATGAGGTTAAATAAAATGATTTGAACTAATTAAAAAAATGTTGAATACCTTATTCAAAATCTATTTGTGCACAAATTTATAATATTGTTAAAGAGAAGAGCAATGAATAAATACACTCATGTAGAATTTCTAAAAGTCATTAGTTAGTAAATCTAAATAAAATTTTCTTTACGAAAAATCATCAGATTTAAAACAACATTAGAGTTATTGTATTAGTTCAATGTTTTGTTTAACAGTCATTGGGTTATTTTTTCCTATTGAATGCAATTTCTTATTGTTAGATATTGCCACATTTTATTCATTAAGAGAACAATCTTAAAGTGTTATCAATCATAAATATCTACCGATATGGTTAACCCATATAATGTTATAAAGTTAGCAAGAGAATTTTGATAAAAAAACTAAATCGAATAAACATAATTGAATAGTCATTTGCTAATCGATTGATTATAATAGCCATCACTTGCTAATAGACCGATGACCACAAAGTATTTATAAGTTGTGAGTTGTGATATATCCATGTTAAACTATTTAGAATTCTAGAATCAAACATCGACCAATGCATTGTAAATTCGCCAAGGTTGTGACTACATTCTCATATGGTCATTTTGGCTGAACGCTGATTTTTATTAATTAATTTTTAATTCAGGACCCATTAAAAATATTCAATTAGTTACGTGGTTCAACCGATTCTGTATTAATAGATGTGCTTGATTAATTAATTGAATGTCTTTCATATAAGGTTTTACTGAAAATGCACAAATATTCAGCCTTTTTCTACATACTCCCTATTTATTGCCAAAGTTTATATTTGTACAGAGCCGCAACGTGAACGAATGTTTAATAATCAAAAATGCACTGAAAGTGTTGCTCATGTATCAATTATGAAGTGATTAGTTTAGAAAAGTATATGAAAACATATCTAAAATTATTATATTCTCTGTGACTACGCGTTTATCATAGGTTTAATTCAAGTATAAATTATTGTAAACATTAGTATTCAAACATCGCAGTCATATTAAGCATTCTGTATAAATGTCTAGCTTCAAGTCTATGTAGATATTTATTCACACGAAATTTGTAATATGTAGTTGACTAGAAAATATAAATCAATTATAATATGTTCATTTTGTTTTAATTTTAATTTTGAGAACAGTTTTGTGCAGTCAGAAACGATTCATGACGATTATATTCGTCAATCGAGAATAAGTTACGCAGTTAAGACATCAGATGAAGAACAGTGGATTATTTTATAAAATTTAAAATTTCTTCACATAATTTACTAATTAGTATTTAGTAAATTATATTATAGTAACTCACGCATTGAACAAAAAATGTAATAAATTCAATTAAATTAGTAAGAATTTAAATTCTTGTGTAAAATGATACCCTGCAAAACAGGATATTATAAATAATGAGATTTGCATTGAATTTTTTTAGTTTCAAATTTATGGTTAACATATAAAAACCGTTATAATGTTAATTATCAATTATAATTATAATTAATTATTATAATTATGTTTCAATCACATAAATTCATTTCAAACTGTTCACTAATTCCCGGTAGAAGTTTGTATTTTCGCCAGAAAATCCGGTTTTCTAATTTTATGTTTTCTCGACGTTTCAAGTCATTCTGAATCGTTGGAGATCAACATTGGAAAATGTATGTGTGTATGTAAACCAAAACATCAACTTTTCGTCGGCGGTTTCTCGAAAACGTTTGCGCCGATTTTAAAAATATAAAAACCTCTTGATACTTTATGAGGACAATAGAGCTCACAAGGGCAATGCATGTTTGCTTTTAAAAAATGATTAATTCTTAAATTATTTGTTAAAATTAAGTAAAATGTTTGGCAAATATGCATGAAATTGAAGAATTTGTAATGGCTTCTCATATTAGGATGCCCTACAACAAATCGGGATACTTATAAAGGGCTTATAAAAAAGGTAATCATACATCCCGGTCTGGACGGAACGTTCCCGGATTTCCGCCTTGTGTCCCGGGTTGTTTCGGTTTTTCGAAAATTAAAATTAAAATTAACAAAAATAATTAAAACGAACGAAGAAGTGCTATTTTTTTAAAGCTCAAAGGAAAAAAATACATAGAAACAAAAGTCAGTAATTTTGATTAATAAAAAATGATTCATATAAAAGTCTAAGCTCTCTGTCGAAACTAAGTTGCTGCTATATAAATCAATTATTAAACCAATCTGGACCTACGGAATTGAGCTCTGGGGATGTGCTTACAAATCTAATATAGCTATAATGCAGAGAACTCAGTCAAAAATTTTACGTACAATTCTTAATTCTCCGTGGTACGTGACAAATGAAACCATTCACAGCGACCTCAACATGAAAACGGTGCAATTAACGTTCAAAGAATTCAAGGAAAAATACAAACGCAAACTGGACTCACATTCGAACCCATCAATAGAATAGTTGACATTACTCAACCTTTTGGCATAAGGAGATTGAAACGACAATGGCCTTTAGACTTAGTCTTAGATTAGGTCTAATATAATATTATCATATTAATTGTTAAACTGAGAAGTTCTCATTGGAGTTCTTCTTAGGCATCACTCATAAATATTGTCACTTTAGCTCATAGGAATCTTTATGTATTTCTGATTGCTAAATAAAACTGAGTTAAAAATGTATCTTTAAATAGCTTTTGTTATTTTATACACGCAATGGATTGCCTGACTAAATAGTCAATATAGTTAATTCCAAGCTTCTAAAAAGGTCGGTTTCCATATTACGCGGTACGCACTCACCGCGTTAACGGAGGGTTGACTATAACGCTACCCTGCATGCGAAAAATGCAGGCGCATCGTCGATGGGGCGCCATTACGAGATTCGGATAATAAAATATGTTATCATACATAATTTAAATATGATTTTTTTTCAAATATATAACCTATAGAATACTTAATAAATAGTAATTGAAAAAATAACGTACTTTTTCATATAATTTCAATGTCAAAGTGTTAAAAAACAGAGGAGGCCTTAGGGAAAAAATGGCTTGCGGGCACTGAAGACCCTATATATAAAGCGAGAGGTTTTTTTCAGATGGTGAAATATTATGATAAAGTTGTTCTTAGGAATCCATCCTATAATTAAAACGATTTTATTGTAGAAAAATGTTTTCATTGTAATATCATACGTTTCGTGTCCTGATTTGATCCATCTTCAGTGCATACAGATGAATTAAAAAGAAACAAAAAAAAAACACGAAAAGATATGAACACCAATTGATATAACAACAAGTTATATGTCAATTTTTATTAAACAAATAATGAAACAAAATAAAACAATTAAACAAAATAAAAATAAAATAATACTTTTCTTTTTTAGAAAAAGCTCTTTTCAATAAGATATGTTATTTGTGTGGAGTTTGTTTTACAAGTGAACTTGTAAAAAGTTGATTTGTAAAACAAACTCCAAATGAATAACATGTCTTTATGAGAAGAGCCTTTTTACTAAAAAAAAAATTAATATTTTATTTTTATTTTGTTTAACTTAATATTTATTAAAAATTGTCATATATATAACTTGATGTTTTATATGAATTGGTGTTCATATATTTTCGTGTTTTTTCTCTTTAATTTATTAGTATTTCTCTTAAATTTATGAAGATGGGTCAAATCAGGACCCAAAACGTATGATATTACAATAAAAACATTTTTTTACAATAAAATCGTTTTAAATATTGGATGGATGCCCAAGAACAACT